CGGGACGCCGCAGTGCGGGCAGAGCATGGGGCGCTTCGGGCTCACCGTCGTGCGGCAGTGAGTACCGCGGCGCTGCCGCCCCTGCCCCCGGTGCGGGTGGGAGCAGCGATGGGCCGAGGGACTGAGGTTCGACCGGGCGAGATGCTGTTCCTGCGCTTTGGCCGCAATAACCTCGTCAGAGCGGCGCGGGCCGCGGGACGCCGCAGTGCGGGCAGAGCATGGGGCGCTTCGGGCTCACCCTCGTGCGGCAGTGAGTACCGCGGCGCTGCCGCCCCTGCCCCCGGTGCGGGTGGGAGCAGCGATGGGCCGAGGGACTGAGGTTCGACCGGGCGAGGTGCTGTTCCTGCGCTTTGGCCGCAGTAACCTGCTCTGAGCAACCTGCTCTGGTGGGAGGTGTCCCTGCCCAGGGCAGGAGTTGGGACTGGGTGAGCTGTAAGGTCCGTTCCAGCCGCTGTGATTCTGTGATAATGCCCCGCGGTGCTGCAGGCTCGGGGCAGAGGGACTGGGAAGTGCAGCAGCAGAGAAGGACCTGCGGGTGCTGGTGACAGCGACTGGGCATGAGCCAGTGTGTGGCCAAGAAGGGCAGTGACATCCTGGACTGGGTCAGCAGTGATGTGGCCAGCAGGGCCAGGGAAGTGATTCTCCGTCTGTACTCAGTACCGGTGAGGTCACACCTTGAGTGCTGTGCCCAGTTCTGGGCCCCTCACTGCAGGAAGGATATTGAGGTGCTGGAGCGTGTCCAGAAAAGGGATCAGCTGGGCAAAGGTCTGAAGAACCAGTCCGGTGAGGAGCAGCTCAGGGATCTGTGGGTGTTTAGCCTGGATGGGCCAGGGAAGTGATTCTCCGTCTGTACTCAGTACCGGTGAGGTCACACCTTGAGTGCTGTGCCCAGTTCTGGGCCCCTCACTGCAGGAAGGATATTGAGGTGCTGGAGCGTGTCCAGAAAAGGGATCAGCTGGGCAAAGGTCTGAAGAACCAGTCCGGTGAGGAGCAGCTCAGGGATCTGTGGGTGTTTAGCCTGGATAAGGAGGCTCAGGGGAGACCTTATCACTCTCTAGAACTACCTGACAGGAGGTTGCACCCTGGTGGAGTTTGTTCTTTTCTCCCAGGTAACAAGTGACAGGATGAGAGGACATAGTCTCAATCTGAGCCAGGGGAAGTTTAGGTTGGACGTTAGGAAGGATTTCTTTACAGAAAGGGTGATTAGACACTGGAATGTGCTGCCCAGGGAGGTGGTGGAGTCACCATCCCATGAGGTGTTTAAGCAGAGACCATATGTGGCACTTAGTGCCATGGTCTAGTTGCCATGGTTGTGTTAGGTCATGGGTTATGCTCAGTGATCTCAAAGGTCTTTTCCAGCCTGAGTGATTCTGTGGTTCCTGGTCCTGAGGGGCTGCTCAGGCTCTGCCTCAGGTGTCACTGGCTCTGGCTAGGAACGTGACCCTGTGCCAGCTTGCCCAGGTAAGTGAGGCCTTGTTGGTAAAGCTCGGGAATGCTGGAAGTGCATTACACACAGCATTAGTGAACTGTACTCTTGGGAGACTGACTGCTCATAAGGCCATTCTCCTGCCAGAAGGTCTCTGGTGACATAAATAGCTCATTTCAGGAGGGTTTCGCATTTCTGCTGTCAAGCGTGAAAGAATTGGTGTTTGTGACTTGATTAGAGTCACTAAAACGAGTTTTTCTTCCATAGCACAGCAAATATTGACAAAGATTTGTGGCTAACTGGTCCAAGTGGCTTCAGCTTCCTGCAGTTGACAATAGTAAACTTTCATGCAAGCAGAACTTTTCTCTTCTTTAGAAGTGTGGGCAGCAGGTGAGGGAAGGGATTCTGCCCCTCTGCTCTGCTCTGCTGAGACCCACCTGGAGTGCTGCATCCAGCTCTGGGTCCCAGCACAGGAAGGACATCACCCTGTTAGAGTGAGTCCAGAGGAGGCCACAAGATAACTGGAGGGATAGAGCACCTCAGCTATGAGGAAAGGCTGAGAGAGTTGGGATTGTTCAGCCTGGAGAAGAGAAGGCTTCATTGTGCCCTAATTGCAGCCTTCCAGTACCTGAAGGAACCTACAAGAAAGATGGAGAGAGACTATTTACAAAGCACTGGAGTGACAGGACAAGGGGGAATGGCTTCACACTGACAGAAAGTAGGTTTAGAGTGGATATTGGTAAGAAATTCTTCCCTGTAAGGGTAGCACAGGTTGCCCAGAGAAGCTGTGGCTACTCCATCCCTGGCAGTGTTCAAGGCCAGATTGGATGGAGCTCTGAGCAACCTGGGCTAGTGGAAGGTGTCCCTGTCCATGGCAGGGGGTTGGAACTAGATGATCTATAAGGTCCCTTCTAACCCAGGCCATTCTGTAATTCTATGGTAATTCAGTTTAATACTTGATGAGTGCAACTGCAGAGATGATTTTTTTTTCTTTCTCATTTTCCTCCTGATAAGAGTTTCTCTTCCCTTAAAGACCTGGATCTGCTGCCTTGGTGCTGTAATCCACAGCTTAACTTTTACATCAGCTAGGAAACATGTGAGCCTGAAACAATGTGTTGAACTTGAAATCTCCAGGGGGGACTCTTGCAGGCCCTTTGGAATGTTGCCAGCTCATTTACCAGCACAGGGATGGGAGCTCATCCATCAGCTGTGCATGTGTACACTGTGCTATCTTAGTGGAAAACTGCACATCCTGCTCTTCCCCCATCTCCCACTGATGGAAAATCCAGCCTGCTGCATAAAAGGCTGGATTCCAGCCCTCAGGGGGCTGGAAATAGCTTTCAGGGCATGGGGGTGAGCCTGAAGACTTAAATTGCTGCCTCCCATGCTGGAAAGAGTTTAAAGCATACTGAAATACTGTGGTTTATCTAACTGTGGGCAGTTACCTGTTTGGGACTGATCTTGAGGACTTCCACGAAAGCAGTGTTGATAGCTCTCAGCAAAAAAACAAGCAGCATATTTGGCCATGTTACTGCAGAAAACTTAGGCAGGTGGCATTTCAGCCAGGTGAGGAGTCTCAAGTCAGCTTAACTTTGTGTCAAGTTTAGTTGTTAGATTTTTCCCTTCTAAAGAAATCCACACGTCACTCTTCTCCTGAAATGATATGAGTTAGGGTTTCCAAGATAGAGTATTGTGGTTACTGAAGAAGGTGATGCTCATTTTACAAGTGTTTCTGTAGCTCTGGCTTCATAGGCTCCGTTTCTTCAAGATGTGCAGCCTGCTCTGCTGCTGTCCTGGATAATCTCTGGACTTGGCTTCCCTTCAAAGTTCAGATATCCAGTTGGCCAACACATGCTCCTCATAAGACAGCTCCAGAGTCTTCCTGCAGCTTTGTCCTCTCCAGCATGGAGGTGTAGTAGTTACAGATAAATTATGCTGCATTTATGATAAATTTCAGAAATCACTTCCTTTTATTCCAGGTGGGCTTGTCTTAGTAAACATTGGAGTGATTGGGGTTGACCACTTGAAATGATTTTTTGTTGTTGTAAAGTCTTCAGGTGCCTCTCTTTGAAAGGAGTCTGTACTGTACTGTGTCTCATTTTTCACACTCAGGCTCTGCTGCCTCTTGTTGATATCTTATAACAACACTCTTTATAATCTCTTTCAGTGGAGAAACAAGATACAACAAAGACAAGATACTGCAAGGTTAGTATCAGTAATTCTTTTGCCTGGTTAGAGATGGAGAATCATGGTGAAATCTTGTAGCAACTGCTCAGATGTTAACTATTATTACAGAATAATATTGGAAATCTCAAGAGACTTTAGGTGTAAGCCAGGACATAGCTCTATAGCTTTACAGAACTATGAAGATGTCAAGTCATTCTCCACAGCATATCACTAATGCTGATGCATTTCTGATCTCAACAGGAATATTAGGATAGTTCCTTTTTTCCACACAGGAGAAAAAATGTTACCTGTAATCAAATAAAGTGGTAGCAGAACCTTTTACTAAGGAGACCAGAGCATTGCATAGCACTGTGCTAAGTCTCAGTAATGGGAAGCTTTGAAAAAAGCCTTCCTGGTCTCAGATGAGCAGGGAATGCTGCAGCTCTGGTGAGGAACCTGCCAGGTGCATGTTTGTACAATGGCATTGGTAAGGAGCTGCAGAAGGATGGATTCCCTCAGGAAGGTAATCTGTTGCTTGCAATAAAAGCCTGAAAGTAGAGCAAGGAAGAATGAAAAGTAAAGATTGTTGCTTGAATTGTTCAATCCCAACTCTGTCTAGGAAGGCAGCTTTTAGGCACATTTCAAGCTAGGCTTAGTGACTGCTGACTTGTACACCCAGAACTGAAAACACTGAGCTCCTTGGATGTCTGTTGTAGGAAAATCAAGGCTCGTTGGTACAAGGAACCTAGTGGGATGTACTGTGAACAAATCAAAAGGACAAGTGATTTGTAATGACTGCTCACATTTGGAAAGTGTAGGTTCCTCTTTCATGTTTAAATTTGCCATAGCTAAAATATAAATATCATTGATAATCATGCTTCTGTCTCCCTAGCCTGTACTCCTTTTTTCATTCGATTTGTGTGACTAAATTTAGGGAAGACCAGAAGAGCAGTGACTCTTTGTAATGGTTGGCTTTGCTGAAGGAGAAGGATTTTATTATGACTGAGCAGATTCTGTATTGCTGACATGCTTGCTCAGCTGCTCAGTGATCTAAAATTTTCATGTCTTAATGTTGGATGGTTTTTATTTTTTAGGCCAAGGAGTGGATGAGCCTCTCTCTGCGACTGGTTTCAGACAAGCAGATGCTGCTGGTTTATTTCTCAGCAATGTGAAGTTTACTCATGTCTTTTCAAGTGACCTCCTTCGAGCAAAACAGGTAAGTGCTTCTTGGGGCAACAATTAGCTTCAAAATTTGGCATTTGCTGTTGAGGATGCAAAAATGCTGCAGTGGTGGAGAGCCAAAAGCTAGTTCGATGGACCTAGGACTGCACTTTGAGTTGTGTGGGATTGAAGGAAGCCTCTGTGAGTAAGGAAATTTCAATGAGAACAGCTTGGTTGGGAATCAGCAAAGGCAGCTTGTTTTGCAGGATGTTATGCACTGTTGTTCCTGTGGATTTATGGAAGGAATTTTCCCTGTGAGGGTAGTGAGGCACTGGCACAGGTTGCATAGAAAAGTGTGGATGTATTACCCCTGGAAGTGTTCAAGGCCAGGTTGAATGGGGCTCTGAGCAGCCTACTCTCGTGGGAGGTGTCCCTGCCCATGGCAGGGGGTTGGAACTAGGTGATCTTTAGGGTCTCTTCCAACCCAAACCCTTCTATGATTTGCCATTATTTTATATGTGTGTAGGTTCTTGCTAAAGGAGTAATTAGGACTCAGAGTTAACACATGGAAATGAGTTTTTCATTGAAGAAACAAAGCAAGTCAGCTGTGATATTGTTGTGCTGTCTTATGCCTTGTTTTTTTGAGGAATGCAGACGGATATAGGCAAGATCAAGTTTGGCTGTGAAGTCAGGACAAGGATCATTAAATGTGCAGAGAGGTTGGATTTTGCCAGGAATGTCAAAACTCTCACCTTGATGCACTAGGAGGAGAAGTGTAGTACCGAGTGGGATTACATGTGATCCTGTGTGCAGTACTGTGGAATACTCAGTCTTAGGGAATGAGAACTTTTAAAGTCAGAGATAAGCTGTTCTAGAATCATAGAATTTTAGGGCTTGGAATGGACCTTAGAGATCATCTAGTCCTAACCCCTGTCCTGGGCAGGGACACCTCTCACCAGAGCAGGTTGCTCAAGGCTCATCCAGCCTGGCTGTGAACACTGCCAGGGTTGGGACAGCCACAGCCTCCCTGAGCAACCTGTTCCAACTGGTTCTAATTCTCTTTCCTGTTACTGATGCAGTTGCTTCAGGAGTTGTGTAGGCTTCACAGGATTGAAACTACCAAGTCATTCTTGGTTGCTTGCTTTTTGCTCTGACATCCTGCTCTAGAGGCATATGAAGCCTTGCTGTAAACCAGATCAGCAAAATCTAGCATGAATGTCCTTTTCTTTTTCCTTAAAACATAGATCACCAACATTGCTGATCAGTTTTGCAGCACAGTCCCATAAACTGCTTTAGCAGCACAGCTTAGGCAGAAAACAAACTAGAGAAACAAGGAGGGAGGAGTGCAATAATTAGCTTAAAATGCATAAAATAGCTGCCCAACAAGGCACTTCCTCAAAGTGTGTGATTGGAAGTGATTTGAAATCTTTGAAGATTTATAGTGCTTTCTAACTGTCTGTGCTATGTGCCTGCCTTAGGGCAATGGGCTTGGATTTTTTCCTTACATTTAGGACAGCCTTTTCCATGAGGAGCATTTGTACTCTCATAATGTAGAAGACAGATTTTTCCTTTGCATAAAGGAAATGTGTTTTGCCATTTGTTTGACAAAGCTATCCAGACTTCGTGAAAGCTTTTCCAGAGATGTGTAAAGCTGCAGTTTCCATGTGGTTGGAACTCCCTGTCTTGGCAACTGTAAATCTATGAAGTGTCTGTTACTACACTGTCACTTCATAGCTCAAGTATGAGAGGAATGTGCAAGTTCTGTTGAAAAAGAGGAAATTCCAGCATATAATGCTACAATTAACTGTGATGTTCATATATACAAGGAAGTGGATTCAGCCCTATCTGAATGTTGATGTTATTCTGTGACAGAAATTTCAAGTTACATCATAAAGCTTTTCCCAAGCATTTTGTTAAATAGGTCAGAAGAACTTGTTAGTAAGCAAGGCTGCTCATTCTTTGCCAGAATCCAAGGAGCCTTCTCCAAGTGAGCTCTTTGAATGTTAATTTGATTGGGTTTGCACAAGTCTACCAGCAGATATTACCAGTCCAAAGTGTATGTGAGTCCAGAACAGCCTTCACACTTTGCATGTAAGAACAGGAGCAGGTCCTTTAGTTCCCAGTTCAAGAAAGATGAGAAGGCACTGGAGTGGATCCAGCAGAGGCCACAAAGGTAATTAGCAGTCTGGAGCATCTCTGTTATGAGGACAGACTGTGGGAACTGTGCCTGTTTGGTCTAGGGAAGAGAAGATAGAGGGGATCTCATTAGTGCATATAAATATTTCCAAGGTGGGTGTCAAGAGCATAGTGCCAGACTCTTCAGTGGTGCCCAGAGACAGGATGAGGAGCCATGGCCGTAAACTATACCACAAGAAGTTCCACATCAACATGAGGAACAACTTCTTTCCATGGAGGGTGGCACAGCCCTAGAACAGTCTGCCCAGGGAGGGTGTGGAGTCTCCCTCTCTGGAGACGTTCAAAACCCACCTGGATGTGTTCGTATGTCACCTGATCCAGGTGACCCTGCCTTGGCAGGAGGGTTGGACTAAATCATCTCCAGAGATCCCTTCCAACCCCAACAATTCTGTGATTGGCTGTGGCAGCCAGACAGGTATCAGAGAAATGGTTTTCACAGTTTTCACTGAACAGTTTTTAGGAACATGCAACTGGTGAGTCTGTCAGTACTATGTGTAAAGCTTGTGTGGACACAATTGCTTTGTGAGCAGCATTATGCTCAAGAAGATGTGGCTTTTATCCCAGTCAATCTTGCTGCTGCCATGCATCTTGCTGCCCACATTTGATAGCTGCTAAGTGTCTTCGACTGTTCTGGACTTTGAATTCTGAAGAAACTGTAAGCCCAGGGAGGCTGTGGCTGCCCCAGCCCTGGGGATGTTCAAAGCCAGGTTGGATAAAGCCTTGAGCAACCTGCTCTGGTGGGAGGTGTCCCTGCCCAGGGCAGGGGTTGGGACTAGATGATCTCTAAGGTCCATTCCAACCCCTAAAATTCTATGATTCTATGAACTGCCAGAAGATTACAGCTTTTCTATTTTTATGGCCTGACCTAGGCCATGTATCCAATTCTGACACACTAGTAGCAGAAAAACCTTTTATTTCATTGGTTTGGGTTGTTGGGTACTACTAATGTGGTTGTCCTTGGCTGTGGGCACGTGAGATGCTCTATCTATGATCTGTCTCAGGAGAAAACAGCTGATTGATGTGACTGTGTTTTCACTTTTCAGACTGCTGCCTCAATTCTAGGGAAAAATAAGTTTTGTAAAGATTTGGAAGTCAAGTATGATCAAAGACTGCGAGAGAGAGTAAGTGCCCAAAGAATTTGTTTTAATATCAAATATTGAACAATTTGAAAATGTAACTTACTGCTGATGGATATCTTGGCTGACTAAATGGTAGATTTAATGGTGGAGAGCACTATTTGATGTGTTGGTAATCACTGAAAACTGAACTCTTCTCGTCAGGGACAATATATCGTTTGCAGAATTGTGAAGCAAAGCCAAAATTCAGTGCTTAGCATCGTAACTGTGCTGCTTAGTGATTTAAATAAGGTAAGATTCAGTGTTTAAGGAGCAACACATGATTGTAGCATTTTGTCTCTCAGAAATTCCAATTCTTCCCCTGAAATCAGCAAGTTAAATCCTTTTCTGAGTTGCTTTACCACCTGGCTTTTTAGAAAAATGTTATGGAAAGAATAATCTTATGTCTCTGTTATGCCTCTTTTCCCTTTCATGTATGGAAATATTTGCCAATGCAGTGTCTGCAGGTCACAGGTTGTAAGTCACCACTGAGGGTAACAGGAATTCAGTGAATTGCACAAAAAGACACGAAGTCTTTGCCCATGTTAAGAAAGTATTCCTCTGGTTTACCGTTGTTAGAGATGTGCCCTGGAAAGATCTTGAAGGTCAAAAATAGTAATGCACATCCAGGTATATCTATTGTGTAAAATACATTGCCAATGATAAATATTATGTTTTATAATGTCACTTCTAGTGATCCAGAATAACTAACTGGTATATTTGGGTTCTTATTACTGTTTCTTGTATGGGCCTTGTGTTTGGAGGCTTCAGGAATAAGCATGTGATTGAAGATAGTTAATTGCATGTCCTCTGGGTCCATTAGCATATGCTTTAAGATTTTTTTGCCTTTGCTGCTTTCTGCAAACACTGCCCACAGCAGCAATGCATGTCCTGAAAAAGTGGGGGTGGCCTTATTGTTTATTTTTAATGGTAGGTTTTCTGTCTTGTTTTATTTCAAAAAACTCTGATTTTACAAAGGATTCCTCCTCTGTTGTGTAGGTTTCAAAGATCTGTAGAGAAAATGCTTTTTTCTTACCTGTGAAAAATAATTCCCTCTAGTCTTTCTGCAAACAAAAAGTAGGTGGAGTTTATCCTCATGTACGTACAGAAGCATTTGCAACGTAACCTCAGCCACAGACACTGGAGTTTTCTGTGCTAAGGATGAGTGTCAATGGAGGAAAAAATCCCAAGGCAAAGACCAAGCTGCAGCTAGTGTTCTGAATGTCAGTGCTTTAAATGAGATGCTGCTCTTAATCTATTTGTCTACCCAGCAGATATATAACATATATAGATATATGTGTGCACACTTTATGCAGCAGCTATAAAGTTGCCTCCTTCCCCAGAACTGGGATAAAATGTGAAGGGTAATTAAGCCTTGAGAATCCAAGAGATCAGAAGTATTTTGAGCTGTTTGCATTGGAAGGGATGCTGGAGACTTGACACATCTTGCCAAACCCCCTTTTTATACCTTGCCTCTTGCAGAAATACGGTGTTGCAGAAGGAAGGCCTTTGGCTGACCTCAAGGCTATGGCAAAGGATGCTGGAGAGCAATGTCCTTCATTCACACCTTCTGGAGGAGAAACACTGGATGAAGTATGGTATTTGTTTGTTTATTTGTGCCCTGCTTCCTAGGCCATTTGATCAGTGCAATTGGAGTAATTGCCTACTTAGGAACTTCTTATTGAGGGCTTAGCACAACTAGAGGTAGTTATTTTCTAAGCTAAAACCACTGCTTGGCCTGATAATAGTGGCTGCCACGTAGGGAATCTCTTAGTGACTAAAATGGTGATTTTGAGGTTGACTCCTTGTTGCAGGAGGGTGATGGCAATTGCTCTCAACCACAGCTTTCGAGGGCAGAGGAGTTTGTACAGCATTCAGTAACTTACCATTGATTTCTGAGACTGGTCTGTGATAAATGTTTGTCTTTTAACTGTAGTAACTATATCAGATTTCTGAAAGCCAAAATCTCTTCATTCTTTACAATGATCTCTTTGTTCTTGGCAATGATGCTGAGGAATTTGGGGCTGTTCAGTCTGGTGAAGAGAAGGTTGTGTGGAGACCTCATAGTAGCCTATCAGTATCTGAAGGGGCTACAAGGGAATCTGAGAGGGGCTCTTTGTTAGGAACTGCAGTGACAGGACATGGGGTAATGGGTCCACATTGAAGTCTAGGCTAGTGATGAGGTAGAAGTTTTTTCCTGTGAGGGTGGTGAGACACTGTCCCAGGTCGCCCAGGGAGGCTGTGGCTGGCCCAACCCTGGCAGGGTTCAAAGCCAGGGTGGATAAAGCCTTGAGCAACCGGCTCTGGTGGGAGGGGTCCCTGCCCAGGGCCAGGGAGGAGGACTAGGAGATCTGTAAGGTCCATTCCAACCCCTGAAATTCTATGATATGATTCTATGATATGATCTCTTCATTCTTTTCTCTTTAGGTGAGAGAACGTGCAAGGAATTTCTTTGAATTTCTGTGCCAGCTGGTTGTTCAATTGGTACAGAAAGAGCAGGACAAGTCTGGTGCAGCAAGCAAAAGCTCAGGAACATCTCAAGAACAGTTTGTTTTCCCTTGGTCAAACCACTGCAGTGAAGGAGAACTGAGCAGTGAGAGTGGTGGATCTTCTGAAATATTAGATGCCAATGTATTAGTGGTGAGTCATGGAGCCTACATGAGGAACTGGATTGATTATTTTGTTTCAGATCTCAACTGTACTTTACCAGCAGATTTAACAAAGTCTCAGATGTCTTCTGTCAGTCCCAATACAGGAGTCAGTCATTTCATTGTAAAACTTGAAAATGGAAATCTGTTGAAACCTGAAATCACATGTGTATGTCTTAACCAAGACTCTCACTTAGTGAATGTGGGAGCTGAATGTGTAGCTTCAAAAGTGTTTTAAGAGTCTCTCTGTAGGGGAAGTGGTTTTAGATCCCCATTATGCTAAGCTTGGGGAAGGTTTCTGTAGTAATTACTGAGACTGGCTGGAATTACTGACACTAAACTGCAAAATGGAAGACATGCAACTGCTTACCATCCTGAAAACCCACAACTTGCATGGTCCTAGTGCCCAGTATAACTTGGCAGTAGTGAAATAACACAGATGTTCTCTTTGAACAGGATCATAACACTTCCAGTCTCTGCATATCTGCTCCTGCAGCACATATTAAAATAAATCCCTCCTTTGCATTACTCCATAGTTGTTTTTATTACCTCCATGTGAAAGAGTTGGGGAGGGAATGGTACCTCGGAGTTGAGCTATACTGTGTTCTTGTTTATTACAAAATGCTCTATTGTAATATTAAACGTACATGTTGTCTTAAAATGCATTTCTGAATGCAATAGTATAACCTATAAAGGAGCATTGCCCAGAGGAAAAGGCTTGCTGCAGAGTCAGGGAATGTGGCTTTGGCACTGACTAGCTGTGAGACTCTGGGCAAGTCCCTTTTCCATTGTAATCTGGGAATGACGATATACCTACCTCGCCAGGAGTGTTTTCTGAGAAGTTGTTCAGGTTGTTGAGTTCTCTGTTGAAGAGCACTGTGCACAAACATAGAGTTATTTATTTTTAGCTGTAAGCAGGAAGAGGAACCTCATGTGCACATAGCTGGAATAAAGTCCTCTCTTCTGAAAAGGAACTGTGTCTATAGGGTGAGTTGTGCCCGACTGGAATCCTTCTGTCAGTTGCAGTCATACACTTGATTCTATGAATACTTTTTGCCTAGAATTAGGCAAGTTTGATTGCTTGGCGATTGTTGGTGTTAATACTGCATTCTTTCCCCACTGGGGTGTTTGTAGTGTTACTGTGTAAGCTTATCTGATTTACGTTATTTATAATATCCATGTACTTTTTCTTCATTTGCAGATTTTAAGCCTGTTAAAAAAAAATAAAAATTAAAGGTTCCTGAATAGAACTCCCATTTCATCTGTGTTTCTTTCTTAATACTGCTCTAGGAAGCTTTGTTCACATCACAGAACTTCCTTTTGATTTCTCTGCAAAAACCCAAGTTGGCCTTTTACTGCGAAAAAGACTTTTAGGGCTGTTGTCTTAGTGCTGTCCTGACTCTTACCTAGAGGAACTACTGATGTAACAATGTTAAGGTCATACCTAAATTGCTGCAACTGCACAAAATCAGCTGTTTGACTCAAGTTTTAATGTTTGATAGTTTTAGAAACCACTCTCTTCTCTGGGCTGTTCATCCATCACTAACACTGCTAAAATGGAGAGGATGAAGTGGGAAGTGTTCAGTCCTGTGGTGACCAGAGGTGGGATTTTAGGGTCATATTCTCCAGAGCCTGGAAATAAACATAAGGTTTTTCACTTGCAGCAGGGCTCATTTATGTAGCAAGTAACCATGAAACCATCTGCTGCTGTGTCTGAGAATTAGTCCATAGAGAGGAAGGTATATTTTTGAGCGATGGTGAGACACTGGCACAGGTTGCCCAGAGAAGCTGTGGCTGCCCCATCCCTGGCAGTGTTCAAGGCCAGGTTGATGGTGCTCTGAGCAACCTGGTCTCATGGAAGGTGTCCCTGCCCATGGCAGGGAAGTGGAACTATGTGTTCTTTAAGGTCCAACCCAAACCATTCTATGATGCAAAAGCAGCTTATCCAGTGTGTAAAAAATGAGTACTAGTATCAGGTGTCTGCAAAGATTGGTCTTTCAACCTCTAACACATGTAATGTGGAGGACTGGAGGCCCTGAAATTGGATCAGTGAAGTCAAATTGGGATTTGTACTGAACTTCTGCATTGTTAGGCTAAGTTTCTTACTGTCTGATCAGCCAACTTGCTTTCATTCAGAGCAAAGCTGCTTCATTACAGCTCCTCTGTCCATAAATGTCCAGGTGTATTTGGGCAAAGTTTTATGACTAGAGGTTTCCAGGAAACATGAAATCTTCATTATATAGAATCCTGGGAAGCTTAATGATTTCTCAATACCATAAAACGAAGCTTTGCTCAAAACAGCTCTGTTTGAAGCTTAATTTTGTACAAGCAACCTTTGATCAAGACAAAAATATTCTTAAGTGTAAAAATTTCTGAATTCAAATAGCCACAATAAAATGTTTAGAAAATTAGTAATGTTTCTCCTGAGAAAGCCCAACCAACTGGAAAATCCTTGGTAGCCAACCATTATTGGCATTAGGCATAATTGCCACCCAAGCACTAAGTTTGTATGTGTGAAATTAAAATGAACCTGTTTCAAACCAAAATACAGAGGTGACAGGGGCAGCTTGAGGAACTGCTCAAGTCTTGTTTAAAACTGCCCACAGCTCCTTTTCACTAATAAAAATTCCTTCTGGGCATACTGAGGGAAATGTTGTGTTTGCAGGAAGGAAAAAGGGGAACAAGGGCTCTTGCACAGACTCCTAAAGCTCCTTGTGAAATGCATCTTCCTAAAGAGCTCCTGAGGGCTAAACAGCCAATTAAGGTAGAAAAGGTATAATTATGACTTCTAACAGCATTAATGGCAGAGGGTGGGACTGGAGTTCATTCTTGCTTTACTTGTCCCTGGTAGTGGCTGTTTATTTCAGGAAGGCTAGTTACACAGCAGGAGACTCTCCTGGCAGTACTTTAAATAGCTTGAACTCCTCTGGAATTGCCATGTCCTGAATTTTGTCAGTCATTCCATTAATACTCCTTGGAGCCAGAGCAACCAAGGTGAAAATGTGCATCCTTCCCCAGCTGGGAGATGAGTGGAGAAGTAGGACGTTTCTGTCGGTAAGTCTGTAACTTCTGTCAAATGTTTCAAAACACACTAGTGATTTGTGTGCTTCTCAGTTTTAAAGGCTTCTTTTTCTTTCTTGCCTACTCTCAAGCAGGTAATTTGCATTTTGTTCTTGCTGCTGATGCAAATAACTTAGGAGAACATCTACTTATTTGTTAAACGCATTGCCACTGCTTAGGTAATACTCTTCCTATAGGGAGTTTTGACTCTTCCCCTATAATACTCTTTACCTTCTTTAATGTATTTATCACTGGTTAAAATTTAGACCCATCCTAAGAAATGGGATCATGTCTGTATAATTGTTTTAAGTTATTGTTACCAAGTTTTTGTGTTAACTCTTACACAGGGTAAGTAGATGGTATGATGGTGTCTAACCATGAAAAATACCTAAGGGAGAAACCATTCAGGTGTTCCAAACAGCTCCTGTGTTAATGAAGTAACATTTCTCAGTGAAAAACTTGTGAGTCAGACTCTCCTAATTCAGACTTGATAAAACACACTACAATGGTACAAACACATCTGCCAGTGGCCAAGATAGTACAAGAAGTCAAGCATGTTCTTCCATTGCCTCATGGGGTTTTTTCCCCTACCTCTCTGCACTTTCTTGGAGACAGGATCCAGCCTAGGTGATCTTACAGCCTGCCCTAGTACAATTACACTTGTTATATCTCCTTTGTTGTGTCAGATGCAATGTTCTGTATGCATTAAAAAGTCACTCATTTTGGAAGCTTCTGAAGTTGATTGTCAAACCTGTTGTCTGTAGGTCCATGTATAGGACTGCTCTTTTTAAGGCTTGACATCTCACTGAGACTAAATCTTTCTTGTTTTTTTTAATCAAGTGACTCTTGTGCATTAGTACAGCAAATCTGCACAGTTTATTGGCATCATGGGAGAGCTGCAGTGATAGATGGTTCTGTTAGGAATAGTAACAGAGCACAAATATTTGAGGGATTACTCAGTAATGGGCAATGGATGTTTTGGTCTTGTGATATGCCAGTCTCTAATTAACAGCAGAAGACAAGACCTTAACTATAGGGTGAATTTTCAGCCATAGCTGCCAAGATGTAAGAGATTCTGAGAAAGCAAATTGAGCTGTTAAACACATTGCCAGGATGAGGAGAATTTCAAGTGATAAGAAAATGTTACATTCCTTTTGAACACCTTTGTAGGAAGATAGTGCTGAAATAAATGTCAGAAACATCACGGCTTGCCCACGTAATGGTCTGCAGTCAGAGCTGAGAGAACTGGTCTGTACTTACAAAATTATTTTTAAAACTGGTGAAGGTTAAAATAAAAGCTATCTTGGCAGGCTTCTTCACCTGAACATCAGGAGAAGGAAAGGTGACTGTGGAGATCATCAAAATCAACAAGAAATTCAGTCCCCTCCTTTCTAAGCTCATGTTTTCTTTTGCTCAAGAGTCCAGTGGTACTCTGCTCCCAGAAAAGTGCTGCTTTTTTGAGGGGAATTTTGACCTTTGATGTAGCTGTTCATGTTTAATTAGTTCCTTATCAGGCTGGACTTGATTTGGAAAAGGTGGCAGAAGAGACAAAGAGAAGTTCAAAGTTCATGGTCACACTAGTTCCTTGGTGTTGGCTCCACCAACATCCTCTCCACGCGGGTCTGCCTGACCTCCAGCAGTCACCAGGCTTTGGCAGAGCTCTGGGAGTATCAGAGTTTCCTTCCTCTGAAGTATCAGCCTTTTTCCAAGGTTTCTGCTCTATTCCCACAGTTCTGTGTTGGGGAATGTTTTCCAGACATAGTTCTGCCTTTTCAATAAATAGGAAGAGGTTTGGAAGCTTTTTTTCTTTTTTTTCCTCCCTTCAGTACAGAATTTAGATCAGATGCATTCTCTACCCAAGCTTTTGGCACTTCATGAGACTGCCTCAGGCCCACAGCCCACATGCCTGAACCTAAAATATGTCAGATTTTCCCCAGATGTGTCTCTCTTTTGAGGGATTTGGCCATGAGCCTGAGGGGTTTGGGATATATAGTAACCCCAGGCGAACAGCAGCTGCATAGGCACAAACAGCTGCACAGTGTGAGCTGTTTCCCTGAGAGCCACAGGTATGGCAAACCTGCTGTGTGTCTGCTAAACCCAGTGCTGCTCAGACAGGGCTCCTGTGCTGACTGAGAGAGCTCTGGCATCACTTGCAAACAGCTCTGGGATTCCTGACATGACTGTGTGCCCATAGATGCCTCACCTGAACGCCAGGAGCTGATAGCAGAGATCCTGAGAGCACGAGAGGATATGGCACAGGAGGATACTGGGATAAAAACTGAAATCATGAGCAGGCTTTGAGCTCTGTCAGGCTCATGGCTGTGCCCACTGCCCTGGGGAGCTGTTCCAGTGCCCAAACACCCTCTGGGGGAAGAACCTTTTCCTAATATCCAACCTAACCCTCCCCTGACACAGCTCCATGCCATTCCCTTGGGTCTGTCACTGGTCACCAGAGAGCAGAGATCAGTGCTGACCCTGCACTGCCCTTTTAAACCCATGAATTAAATAGTTTAATATGCTCTTGTCAGAGGAAATCACTAATCTCTATCCCAGAATTGGGAAAGCACATCTAAAATTGCACATCTGTAAGCAAATATTTGAAACAAACCTGTTCGGTTGGGCATAGAACTGTATGGCTAGAGAACAGGAAATAAAGTATTTTTTGTTTGAGATCAGAGGACAAAGTAATCTTACAGGACTCTTAGTTTGACCTTCATAATACTCAGGGCTGTAGAGCAAATTCTAAAGGAGAATGTAATTGCAGACAAGATAGGTGAATGAAACCTGGAATATAATTAAATGGGTTTTTACCATAACTAGTTCACACTAGGCTAAATGGGTTTTTCTTTGATGAAGTGATTAATGTGATATGATCTAGGTGAATTTTAATTGAACACTTAATGCCATGATGGAAACCATCAGCTCAACTGGAAAACATTATTGTTACTTAGGAAAAAAAAGGTGAAGTAGGTATGCAAGCAATGAATGGGCATAGGAGTATGGGGTAATGTCCAGGGTCAAGCACTGAGCTCGAGTACAGTTAGTATTTAAGTTCCTTATGGAGCACTTTTTTTTGGTAATGACTTTGAATAAAAATCTAGGAATATGGAAATGCAGGTGAGAAAGTATCATTAATAACTGTGTGGGACAGAAGAGCATGAAGAGGAGAAAATGATGAATTCAGGAGTGAAATTAAAGACATGGCATGAAACCACCTGCTGCCAGCTTAGGCTCTTTGATACCTGTGATGAGAATGCCCTCTACAAGCTGGAGGAAAATTGTTGAAAACAACAAAGGAGAAGAATAACTTGGGTTAGTATTAACCTCTGCCTTACTATGGGTTGTTGGTGTTGCATTTAGAAAGACAAGCCTGATCCTGAAAGGTATCTGTGATCAAGGCAAGGAGTCATTAATGCCACAGTACAAGCTCTGATGGCTCTTCCCTGCCATTCTCTGTGTACTTCTTGCCACACTCAAGAGGGTTCCGAAGTATCTCCAGTGAGGGAAACTCCACACCTCTCTGGGCAATCTGTTCCAGTGCTCAGTCACTGCACAGTGAAGAAGTTCTTCCTCATGTTCAGGTGGAACTTCCTGTGCATCAGTTTCTGCCTGTGCCTGTTTGGCACCACCAAGCAGAGCCTGATCCATCCTCTGACACCTTCCCTTCAGAAACCTTTGATTTACCAATCATCTGTTACCCTAAGATCTTGGAGCCAGATCACAAGTATTTCCTAGCAGCACTGAACTGCCAGACCAGTGGTTTTCTATTGCTTTTGTGTTGCAGAAGACATTTCCCAGTAGAGATGACAATCCCTTCATGGTCAGTCTAGACCTATGAAGACATTTTTCTCATCATCTTTCACAGATGTTTTGTATCTGTGGTGCATTAAACACCCAGGAAGATGCAACCAGGCTGGAAATCACAGGGGATAGGGGGAGAAAACTTTTCAGACACTGCTTGTACCATTTGTTCACTGAAATCCTTCTGGAACAGGGAAGTTAAACAGATGATGCAGAATCCACCACTAGAGAGAATGTAAAGTTTATTGGTATTTTTATAAAAGGAAATTGGAGAGAAGAAAAAGTTTATTGGTACTTACATAAAAGGAAATAGTCTCTATAATACATTATTATAAATATTTATAAATATTCTATGGGATTAAGACCCACCCAAATAAATAAATAAATATTGCAACATAAATAAGTGATGCTCTCTCACTAGCTGGTGATTGCCAGCATCTCCTCTGAAGAATTCCTTCTTTTCACATTTTCAAACTTTTGGCTATAGTTCAAAATACCTTTTTTAATGCAAAATCCACCATGTATTCAGTCCAAGCATAGGGTCCAAATCCCCTGGCTACTGATAGAGTGAGCAACTTGTTCTACTGTATGGATATAGAGATGAAATGTAGAGGTTTAACCCCACCAACATTTCCCATCGAAATCTAATGTGGACAGAACCTTTCATGGCTCAAATTGTTGTAGTCTGTTGCCTCAGAGTCTCAGAGAGCTCTGTGGAGCTTCCAACAATTTATGCAAAGTGAAAACTTCGCTGGTGCTCTCAAGAGAATGGTATAGGAATTGGTAAAGTTATTAAATCAGAACATGTAAATAAAATCACTGCTCTGTGCTGTATAGACAGGTCTGGCTGCAGTCTGAATAAGCAAGAGAAAGCACAACTGTCTGCCCACCTGCAATTCTCCCAAATTCCTTGGAATCATTCCTTTCCTCTGGAAATTCATCAAAACCATGATGAATTTAGAGGATGAAAAACAAATTATGAGGCAGAACTCCTGGTCTAATCCTAATCATTTGGCTTGTCCTGCCCTCCTAAGAATTTATATGAGTTAGGAATCACTCCACATAGAAAAACTATTCTAAGAGCAGAGTCAGGACCTATGACTTCTCTAACACAACAGGTTGGATGTTCTAAAGAGTTCTCATGTACATATACACACATGGTGGGGAAGAGATGCTGTCAGCAGGACAGACCCTGAGTTGAGTCCAGAAAAATTTAAATGGAAGCAAGGAACATGGTGAGCCTCATTTTGATTTTGTTGCACTGATATAACTCCAGTGGCTTCAGTGAGTTACTGCATGAGAAACAAAAAGACAGGACCAAAATCTACTAATGTCCTTTGCATGTTGCTATGAGGAGAAATGTACCATGCCAAGCTCTGTCAGGCCGATAAATGTACTAAATAAACAGACCAGAAAATCTGTGTCTTCACATGCAGAAAACACCTAGAAAATAAAACCCTCAAATCTCTGCCACACTGGATTTTTGTGCTGCTCATCAGCACTTTGCACTTGATTTCTGCAGAATCCATCAGGAATAACTTTTTCAAAGTAATTTACCCATAACATAAACTAATCCAGGGAAGAGGTTTTTGTCACCATTAGAGATCTCCTGATAATACTAATTTCACTCCTAGAAGTGTAAAGCATCTGATACCTGCTCAGAACTCAACAGAAACATGGATGTCAATTGGGTGCTCCTTTACTAAATACAAACCTAATCTTGACTCATTAGATGGGAGTCTTCATTATAGTCAGACTGTTAATAGTTTGGCACTTATAAGACATAATAGTTTGGATTTTTTTCCCCTCTGTAGTTCAGCAGTGTGCAAAACTGTGTATGACACACTATTATTTGCAACCCTGGTTCTTCTCTCAGGGTTGGAAATATGCAAAACTAATGATCTTTACATTGTATTTCCACACTGTGATGCCAGAATTTAGGGGATGTAGAGAAGTACACGAGAGACAGTGAGACTCTCCTCTTCTTTGCAAAACCTCAGCTTGGATACAGCAAGTTTCAGAAATTGCTCTTTTTATACAAGACCATTTGATCCTGTCCTGTTCTCCTGCCAGTTACTCCAGTTTTCCATGTGTGCTGCTCCTACGACAGCAGAATGGTCATTTTTTTGACTCATTTGTGTGTGAAAAGAGACTGAAGCTCTGACTTAAAAATGACGAATCACAGCATGGTTTGGGTTGGAAGGGACCTTAAACACCATATAGCTCCACCCCTCCTGCCATGGGCAGGGACACCTTTCACTAGCCCAGGTTGCTCAGAGCCCCATCCAACCTGACCTTGAACACTGACAGGATTGGGGCAGCCACAGCTTCTCTGGGCAACCTGTGCCAGTGCCCAGTCTTCACAGGGAAGAATTTCTTCCTAGCAACTCATCTAAACTTACTTCTTTCAGTTTCAGCCCATTCTCCCTTGTTTATCACTACAGCTCCTGATGAAGATTCTGTCTCCACCTTCCTTTCCTTGTAGGCCCCTTGAGATAGTGGATATATGACATATATAGCAATTTAATAACAGAGTTTGCTGTGCTGGAACAGCCAGGGATGGTGCTAGTAAGAGCATCCTGTCTCTGCTGGAATATCAGCTACTCCAGCTCTCTTCCCAGTTATATCAGTAACATAACATCAGTTTCTCATTTCATCCAAGGGTTTTCGTTTTTTTCGTTGCTGGAAACTTAGGGTGTTTCAGACTCTAAAAGATTTGGTTTGCATTATTCTTTTTTAACATGCATCTTCTTTCCCCTAAGACAGAACCCCAACTGGGAAGGTCCAACCTGTTTCGTCAGCAAACTGTCATTTTTAAGTACAAAATTTGAAATTAAAGAATTTATCCCAATGTCTTCCAGGTCTCTAACAGCCCTTTTGACATTCTTTCTGTGCTAGACAGTTCCTTTTGCCTCTGCCTTCACTTGGCAAGCGACGGGGCCGCAGTTATCTGGTGATGTAGAAGCGAGGGCTCGCGTACCTCCTGGCATCCATCATAGCATGGGGGTCATCAGGGTTCACCACATCGTTCTGGTTGATTCTCATGGGTTCTCTGGGCATGTGGGGAAATTCTGCTTGCTGCTGCAATGGAGATCCAAACGTGGAGACCTTTCTCTGTGGGACCAGGATTTGGTGAGGATCCGTTGGATCGGTATCTGCACTTCTGGTATGTCTGTGGGGCTCAGGTGTGTTGAATCGAAACAAAGGGATCTCATTTCTCCTGGATAAAAACTGGGAGTATGGTGGTGGGTTCATACCAGGGAGGAAAGCTTCTTTAACTCTGCCTAAACTCACCAGGAAGTTGTGTTTGGGAGATTGGTACACATCATAGCCGTTTTCCAGTGTCCTGTGGTTGAACACACAGTCCTCTTGACTGAAGTAATGCTTAGGGGAAAAAAAAATGACACCTGTGAGCAGTGGGGTTGGGTGAATTACAAGCACCAATTACAGAGGGAAGGAGGGATGAGATCTTGCAGCAGGTGTTTTTCTAATCTCACAGATCTGTAACTGACACCACTTGAGTCGACCCAAATGTAGATCTGAGATGTATTCCCATGTTTTCAGGAAAGGTATTTTAGTGATAAATAAATTCAGAGGGTGAATTGTTAGAGCTACTCTCAGCCCATGGCTCTGTGATGAAGGAGGAATTCAGACTGGTCTCTCATTGGATCTCATGTAGCCCTTGTTTACCCCAGCAGGATCTTAGATGATTTTTGTCAGCTCTACAACTCCATACAATCAAAGAAGAGAGAAAAGTTTTACCTAAGTGGCAGATTCTCAGCTCACTGAAATCTACACCCTCCACCTGCAGCTGCACAGGTTTGCCCTAGCTGAGGCAATAGGCTCCACAGCTGCTCAGCCTGGAATCTTAGCAAAGGTCACTCACCGAGCCAAATATGTTTCCTTTCGTGTCCATACACAGGTAGCGTCCACTCTTCACACCTGTGATTATTACTGAGCCAGCTCCCTCAGACTTGATCATTAGGGCACCTGTTTAGAAGAACAGAGATGTCAAATCCAAGATCCAGTTCAACACTGCACCGTTGCCTCCTTACAGATCCATGGGTGCTCTGACTGAAAGTGCCCTCTGGGAGTCCAAACCAACCTCTCATGTGTCCTGGGACTGTTGCCCACCCTAGATCAGGTTAGCTGTGGCTTTGTCTGTCTGAGTTTTGGAGAGCTCCTGCAATGGACAGCACCTCTCTGGGTGCTCTGTTACAGTGTTGTGCTAACCTCCCAAAGACAACCTTTTTGTTGCCTAACATCCTCTCTTAAGTCCCAAATCACAGTCTGGGACATTGCTTTTAGTTCTGTCTTTGGCAACTACCTCAATTTGTCTCCCTCATCTTTCTGACTGCCCATGTGGTATTTTCTTGGCAGTGCCAAGCAATAGGACAAGAGACAATGGGCAGAAACTGATGCACAGGAAATTCCACCTGAACATGAGGAAGAATTTCTTTACTGTGCAGGTGACTGTGCACTGGAACAGATTGCCCAGAGAGGTGTGGAGTCTCCCTCACTGGAGACATTCCAGAACCATCTGAATGCAATGCTGTGCCATGTGCTCTAGAATGCTTGAGAAGATGATCCACTGTGGTCCCTTCAAACCTTACCCATTCTGGGATTCTGTGATTAACTTATCCTTGACATCCTTATTCCTGGACTAAAAACACAAGCCTTTGCTGACAGACCATGATCAAGGCCTCTCTGCCAGACCAGCTCCAGTTTCTCCACATCCATCTTGGTGTGGGGCTGCTGTAGTGCTGCAAGGGCAGTTTCACTGGTGCCAGGTAAAGTGGGAATAACCTTCCTTCATCTGCTCAAAGTGGATGTGCTGTGGTCTTACATTTGACTGAGCACCTGCTGTAACCCTCAGGTCCTACCCACGAGCTCTGTGCACACCCAGGCTGTGCAGCTTCCAGGGGTTATTGCCACTTCAGTGCAGAACTTTGCACTTCTCACCTGTCTGGCATCTCAGTGGTGACCCAGCAGCAAGTCAGTCACCCTCCCTTTCATAACTCCTTTCTTTACCTGTTTTCCACCCTTCCTGCTCCACCATTCCTAATGCTGAGATACTTGTTTCATGGCAGATATGGGAAAACATGGCATTTTGCTGCCTGTTCTCTAAAATACCACACTGGTACTTGACCAACATACCTAGAATGAATTTTAGACAA